TTCAATAGTGTTTCATTAGGATTTGAGTGAAAAAGATTACTGTATATACTTACTACATACATTTATTACACAAATATATATAGTGTATATATATATATATATATATATATATATATATATATATATATATATATATATATATATATATATATATATATATATATATATATATACAGTGACCCCTCGTTTAACGAACACCTCGGTTAACGTAATTTCGATTAACGAACTGCCTTCCATAAGGATCTTCAATTCGGTTAACGAAAAAAAATTCGGTTAACGAAGTTCTTACGAACCGACATCAACATGTTTTCGCTTGCACTGACCGGGCAACCAGCTTTAGTATCAGTCCGCCAATACATTAATCGGTTCTAGGGCTTAAATTCCTTACTATTTTAGTCAATATCAAGAAGTTCATACTATTCAATAATTTTAAAAGTTTAATATTCAATTTTGTAGTCATTTTAACAATTATAGAACATAATTGAAGGTAAAGTGACTAGTTTAATGCACGGCGTCCAGCCTTTTAACACAGCAAACAGGCGTTAGTCTCTCTCTGTTTCCACTGGAGGTAACATCTTGCTCGAGACTGTCTTCAACTAAACGCTTTTTTCTGTGTTTCCAAGCAAATTATTGGTCATTTTGAAATATATTTTACATATTGACAATATATAATGCAGTGCAGTGTTGATTTAAAGAAAATAATCTTGAATTACACCAAGAGAGCTAAAATTTTATGGGTGAAATGGCGCCATGGGGTGACTTCTTCCACCCCAATGCCTTCTCTTCTTCCTTCTCCTCCACCCCTATTCTAAATCCCATCATCATCCAGGAGCCTTCTACATACACACCTCAAAGTAAGTGAACTTTTCTACCATTTTTGTTGAATTTATGAAATTTTCGGTGAGCTGGAACCAATTACCCAAAACCCATTGAAACAATGGTTTCGGTTAACGAACTTTTCGGTTAACGAACGACCTTCTGGAACGGATTGAGTTCGTTAACGGAGGGGTCACTGTATATATATACAGTCAACCCTCACTTTACGCGGTTAATTCAACCCACAGGGTACCTCGAAAAGTGAGAAACGTGTAAAGTGAACAACATAACATATGGGATTAATTGAAATAGAGACCGGGCCGACCCCCCAAACTCCACTTTTTGACGACACACAACTATGTTGTAGTAAAAATATTATCTTAACTTTATGATGGTATGCACACACAATTAATAATTAAGAGAAATATCAATAATATTAGGTTTTTTAACACTTACATTAGTAGAAAAGATGGCTGGGCACACGGGGATGGGGGGTTGGTTCTGAGGCAGAGGGCAGATTATTGGCCCTCACCTGTATCACTTGTATCAATTGTACCACTATCCACCACAGAGGCTTGCAGGGCCTCTTTGTCAAACACCTCAAAGTCCATATAAGTCCATATCCTCACTATAATTATCGCTATCACTGACTTGGGCCGGCTGTGGTGGGTGGCGGGTGAAGAACTCGGTAAAGTTTTGATGACTGGGCGACCTTGTGCGCACCATGCTCGCGTCGTTTACACAACATGGCGGATGGCGGGAGGTTTGGATCCAAAAATTGCGCGGCTCGACAGCCGCTCTCCGCGTAAAGGGGTACACGCACCGCGGAATATGAGCATTCCTGTTTCGGCAGGGTACCGCGTAAACGTGGAAACGCGGAATGTGGGACCGCGTAAAGCGAGGGTTGACTGTATATGTATATGTATATGTATATATATATATATATATATATATATATATATATATATATATATATATATATATATATATATATATATATATATATATATATATATATATATATATATATATATATATATATATATATATATATATATATATATATATATATATATATATATATATATATATATATATATATATATATATATATATATATATATATATATATATATATACAGAAATACCCTGTTTAACGTGGTTTCGCTTAGCGCGATTTCATATATGCGGTGCCTCGCCAGAGCCGAACTTTCACTTAACACGGGTTTTTTCCAGTATATGCGTAGTGTCCAGCCGGCTCCAGACGCTATTTTTAGATTCGCCCCACCCGCCACCCGCCCGCCTGCCTGCCTGCCTGTTTTAGCTCATAAAATTCATACAAATTACCCAGCCAGAATATAATTTACATTGCTGGAATTCTTACAATATGATGATCATTTTGAATATAAACATCATAGATTTTGCATTAGACATACAAATTTTAGATATAATGTTTACTCTGAGTAAATATGTTATTTTTTGTGCAAAATATATGACATTTGTATTCAAAATATTCCTGGTCTTACAAGGAATCCAGCAATGTCAATTATATTATCCTAACTTTAGTTTGAGGTATTATTTATTACTAAAAAGGTAAATATTTTGGTTTTCCCACGCATCTGGTAGGGAGGGTTGGTGGGAGGTGGGGGGAAGGGAGGGACCTACCGACCATCTGTTAAGGTGT